GTTTGATCTTGGTGTGGTCCATGCGCATAGAGTGTACTGAAAAGAACGTAGTGTGCTTCAAGACAGGGCACACGTCGGCACGATGTCCCAGACTCCCGCAGACGTAGAAAATGATGTCCTCCTCCTCGATCGTCACTTGCATGAACATACTTGGGAGTAGCGAGCACACAGTGGTGTTCAAAAGCTAAGCCTTGACGTGCCAGACAACCATGCTTGAGCGTCGGAGTGAAAAAGTTGCGAAAAATGGCGAAAATACTACCCACCAGCATTAACTTGGTATCGGCGCGGTATTTTAGAAGAACTGTGTTCAATGATGCAAAACTCGCTGAAGAGGAGGCTCGTTTCTAATTGAAAACGTTTACAGAAGCAGGAGCTGATGTTCCGGCGTGCGCACAAGTCGGCACCCCCTGGCATTCTCCAGACGGGTGAGAGAAATGAAAATTAAATCAGTGGTCATTTGAGGTCGAGACGTCAACTTCTTCAGTGTGCGCCAACAGTGTTTTATACAGTTTCATACGCACATTGCCCACATTTCAGAATGAAAGCACATTCGACATGAAGTGCCAAATGTATTGCACTAGTTTTGCAAATAAATTCAGATGTGGTGCTTCCTAGAACGACCAAGAGGCTATAGTGTCCTGCAGTGACAAGTGGGCCCTAAGTTGTGTTACACAGTAAGGAAATGTTCCGGTGGGTGACGAAACTTACTCATATCCGTTACCAACCGACTGGGAATATCGTCAACACTCAGGCTTGCCGTGTGCATGCAGTGGTACCGTTTCTCTGCAATAGGAACGGTAACCAAATAAAGCTTAAAAGGGACGCTAAAGGGCAAAGTTATTTTGCGTGTACTACTACTACTAAGGTACAATTTCACAATTCTAAAAGGACCGCTCTTACTGTGACACCACACTTGAGTGGGCAAGGGAGCAGCGCATCGGAGTGGGCAAGGGAGCAGCGCATCAAGCATGATGCCTGATCTGCGTGTTTTTCCAATGCAGGCTGCGCTTGCGCTGTTGGTGGTCTGGCTACCGGCTGTCTCTTCTGACTCGGCGTGTTCGCATCTGCTCTGGCAGGTGCATTCTTCTGGCGTCAAAACCACAAGCAGTGGCATATTCTTCAATGCAACCTCATCGGCGAAGCTCGACCATCATCTACCAACAGCATCGACAATGACATCGCTCCCCGGAAACCACAAAAGCAGCTTGCGGACCAACCTGTTCTACAGTGGGCAATGGAGCAGCGCATCAAGCATTACGCCTGATCTGCGTGTTTTTCAATGCAGGTGTGTATAAAATATTCTCTTTATGCTAAAAAATCGAATAATACCTGCCTTTTGCTGTTCCCGTGCCCACGGGTTTTGTTTGATACCATTTGTGACTGCTTTTCCACTGCCTTCCTATTATTATGTTGCGGGGATATTGAAGCTAATCCTGGGCCAACAACGCGTTCTGAAGCGCTATTGCAACTTGAAACACTACCCGAGAACCCCGCTGAACAAATGAGTGTGCTATTTCAGCTCCTTAAAGACGTTCATGCGCGTTCTGTTCAAAGTTCGAAGAATCACGCTGATCTAGCTGCTGACGTAAAAACCATAAAAAACGGTCAAAAGGACGTCGAGACGAAAGTAACCGGAATACTACAAAGACTAGATGAACTAGAAAACAAATCCAAGATTGTCGAAAACTTCAAAAGTGAGCTATCAAGCATGCGTAGTAAGATATCAGAAACTACTGCTCAAAACAGCTTGTTACAGGCTCGCCTGGACGAGCTTGAAGATAGGTCTCAACGTGACAATTTAATTTTTCATGGGTTTCCAGATGTCAAAGAATCTTGGGAAGAAACTGAAGCAAAGGTGGTCACTGAAATTACGTCCGTCATAGGGTCATTTTCGCCAAAGTCGATTCATGGCGCACACCGACTAGGCTCATTTTCGCAAAACCGATGCCGTCCCTTCATTGTAAGGTTTAGCGACATCAAAACTAAAGATAAAATATTGTTTGCACGCTCCCAATTTAAAATAAAAGACATAGGCATTAGCGAAGACTTCTCGCCCGCTACGCGCATCATCCGAAAAAAGCTCACTGATTTCTCAAAAAATCTGCCAGATTCCCCCCAATTTAACTTACATTACAACAAGCTATATGTTAACAAAAAATGCTACATGTTTGATACTAACACTGGACAGGTTATTGAAGTAGAACGGCCTGGTCGAGGTTTCGAAAGTAACATCCAGGCACGTGTCCCTTCCTAGGAACGCGTGAGGGGTAGTGACCCTAAATCTAACCCAAGGATCTCTGTTCTGTTCACGAACATAAGAAGCCTTCTTAACAAACATGATTCTTTATCTTCCACAATAGATACCTGCGATGCTCAAATAATTGTGCTAACCGAAACGTGGCTCCGTGCGTATGTGCAGGACTCAGAAATTTTTAATCAAGCGAGTCATTTTGCAATTTATTGTTGTGATCGAACTGCGCATCGGGGTGGCGGTGTTCTGTTAGCGATATCCAAAAACATATCTTCTTTTTGCATACACATTACCACCACTCTTGAAACTATCTGGGCTTTGCTCACTATTGGCCATCAAAAAATCGTCCTAGGCGCATGCTATCGTTCCCCTTCGTCGTCCTCAACATTTGTTAACGAACTCCACGACGTTATGAACCACATCGTAACACGTTTCCCCAGTTATCCCTTATTTTTACTCGGCGACTTTAACTTTCCGAACATCAATTGGACTACACAACCAGCTTCCATTTCTCCTTTTTCGACACAAGCTTCTGAGTTTTTTAACTTTTGCTCTATCTTTTTTCAACGCAATTAGTAGATCATTCAACTAGAATATCATCTCACGCAGCTAACACTCTTGACTTAATCCTAACTACGCGGCCCGATTTTACTTCCGACATAACGTACTTGCCCAAAATCAGCGATCATTCTCTTCTCAGTTTTTCTTTTAATGCATCATTCCCAAAAGTTTCAAACAACAAAAAAGTAATTCGTGACTACAAAAAGGCGAACTTTCAGGCTATTAATCACGAGTTATCCATCTTTCTTGATACTTTTTTGGCAAACTTCGATGATCATTCTGTTCAAACTAACTGGGACATATTTGCGTGTAAAGTTTACAATCTACGCTACCCATACGTTGGAAAATAGGTAAGGTGGTTACACTCTTCAAATCTGGCCAAAAAACATCCCCCACAAATTACCGCCCTATATCTTTAACTAGTACCTGCTGTAAATTACTGGAACATATATTCTCACATCTAGTCAATTTCCTTGAATCAAATTCGTTTTTTACATCTGCACAGCACGGTTTTCGCAAATCGCTCTGATGCGAAACACAGTTAATATCTTTTACTCACAAGCTACATCGCATTTTAGACCAATCATCAAAAGCTGACTGTGTTTATTTAGACTTTTCCAAAGCCTTTGACAAGGTATGCCACAAGCTGCTACTACACAAACTAAGCAAACTCCAACTTGATGACACCATAATGAAGTGGATTGTATGTTTCCTTAAAAATCGCTCGCAATTTGTTTCAGCTAATAATCATAACTCTTCACTCAGCCAGGTTTCCTCTGGTGTCCCCCAGGGATCTGTTCTTGGACCTCTTTTGTTTCTTATTTACATTAACGATATGCCTTCCCTTATATCCTCTAATGTTCATTTGTTTGCCGACGACTGCGTAATTTTTCGGGAAAAAACTGCTGACAATGACTCCTACTCTCTCCAATCAGATCTAACTAGTGTAAGCAACTGGTGCAAAGAATGGTTAATGGAACTTAATGTCACTAAATGTAAAGTAATGCGTGTATCGAGAACTACTATTTGTATGCCTATATATTACCTGAACAATACGCCACTTGAAATCGTTTCCTTTTACAAGTACTTAGGTGTTCATATTACCAACAATTTAACTTGGACGAAACACATCGAATACATTATTAACAAGGCAAACCGCATGCTAGGTTATTTACGTCGAAACTTTTTTTCAGCCCCGTCTTCTTTAAAACTTCTTTTATACAAAACACTAATCAAATCAAAACTAGAGTACGCAACACCAGTATGGGATCCTTGCCACGACAACTTACTCACCACACTTGAACTTGTTCAGAATAATTCAGCCCGTTTCATTCTATCAAATTACAATAGAACGGCAAGTGTAACGGCAATGAAAAGTAGTATTGACCTCCCATCTTTAGCATCACGACGTCGTATTTTTCGCCTAACTTTATTTCATAAGGTTTACATGCTTCTCTCCATGCTGAACTGCTTTCACAACCCGAGTACATATCATGTCGAATTGACCATAATCATAAAGTTGGAGTTGTTTCATCTAACACTAAATATTTTGCTGAATCTTTCATTCCAAAAACATCCCGAGAGTGGAACCACCTTCCCGCCGATGTTGTTTCCATACGCGTTAATCACCCGTTTCATCAAGCATTAGCTAATATTGTATAATCAGGATAATCTATGTTTTTTCTATTTAAACACATGTTCTGTTTTTTCTATGTTTGTACATCTTGTTACTCCCACTCCCCTCTTCAATGCCCTTGGCCTTGAGGGCATAATAAATAAATAAATAAATAAATAAGAGAGAAAACACGTGAAAAGAAACTAAGGGTGAAGATGCCACCTTGAGATTTCCGCACCAAACACTGACGTCATGAATTTTCGAAGCTATCTACTGAGTCCTACGTAGCTCCTAATCAATAAACTTGAAGTACTTTGTAATCTGTGAGTGCCACAGACTCGGCACACGAAGTCTCAGAAAATTTCATCCCGCCAATGTCGTGAAAACATAAAAATACATTGTGGAATTTCTCAAAAATGAAACTTCAACCATGACTTTCTCGGCTAATAAAGAACTTATGACATTAGAGTTCTCAGGGTGCAGTTTGTCAATCTAAAGCAAGTCGTTTAACTTTAGTTGCCCTTTTAACATGGAAGCATCATTGCCTGTGTCGAACATTGCACAACAAAACAATCACACAAAAATGGTGAGTTTATTTTGAGTGAGCTTAAGAAACTCGCAAAACCTGTAAGGCAGTGTCAAGGCAAGGAAGATCTTTACGAATTCTTCTCTGTAACTTTTGTGACAACCTGTTGGAAGAAAACAAAACTCGGTGAATGCTTTTGCCAATGCTAAAGTTTATGAAAGGCAGCCCGTGTGAAAATGAAAAAAAAAAACCAAAATATCTCCAATAAAGGAGAGCACAGGGTACATTTATGACTAGAAATATATTTGTGCCTGCTACGTTTGAGTGGTAATTTTGGCGACTAATCTTAGCCAAAATTAGTATGAACGAGAAGTTTTCTGTGCCATGTCTTTTTCTGGGGCTGGCGCCTTCTCTGTGGACGCACTGAATATTGCACCCCAAGCAACAAAACCTAAATGAAGCGCAGCAGTAATTAATAGCGGATGAGTAAGTTCATAATTGCATTGACAAAAGAAAATGTCCATGCACATAGCACAAAATGACAAAAAAGGCAGAAATCTCACATTGCTCCAACACAAAACTTGAATGATTGCGCCAAATACGACCACTCTGTATATCTTGGCCTTCATTAGATGCAAAGCAGCTTAGGGTCGAGCTAAATTCGATGTGCAGTGTGACCAACCTTACTTCGTATGCGCGTCCATTCCGCCTCTCTTGACTGGCAACGCCGACGAAAGATGCGTCTTCTAACATAAGATCGCTACCCCCTCTCTCCAATTGCGCATGTGCGTCTCCTCCTCTCTTGTTTTGATCACTCACCGTTTTAACTTCCGTGTATGCCAGGATGCCTTCTTCACCCCTGGAGTAGAAGATTATTAGAAACATTACTCGGTGATCTGCACATTTATTTCGTTTTTAATACACCATAGAAACAAGCAGGATGTCCCAGCTAATCTTAACAAAAACCAAAAGCTCCAGAAAAAACTCACCTCAACTATAACCATTTTCCTGAGGTGCACATTACAGCCACAATACTTTTCATTGCTATGTATTGTGCAGCATAGCCAGAAATTCTGTATGCTCCTTCATTTGTACAAATGCATGTATATATGCGCACGAAAAATTTAAAAAAATTCGAAAAGGGGGCTCGAAATTTATCCCAAAGTTGTGCTTTGCTGACTAGATGCACAATCACCTCTGAGCCAACTTTTACGCAACACCGCTGAATTCGTTTATGGATGTGTAGCGCCTTCGCACACTATGCCGGTCAAAGAAGTTGGCATTCGGTCGCGGGACACATGCAGGGTTAGAAGAGAGAAAGAAATAATTTTATTCGGTTGAAGAAAGAAGGGGTTCAGGAGCTAGATTGGTGGGGCCCCATGTCCAAGGCTCCACTGGCTTGCGCCGCCTCGCCAGACGTGGTCAAGGAGTGCTGTTGCACCTCCGGATCCGAGCTAGCGAGGAATGCTTCCCACTGCTCCAAAAAGTTTTCCATTCTATACATACGCTGTAAGCGATCGAGTTCATTTGGCCGTTTAGCACAACTCCACGAGATATGGTAAAGGGTCGGTGGCGAGTCGCGACACCACGGATCATCCCGCCCATACAAAGTTGGATGAATTTTGTGCAGTCGTAATAAATTCAAATAAACTCCCCTTTGAATTTTACGGAGGTCTATGGCGTCTTCCCCTTTAAGAGATTTGTGGAGGGTGCCATATTTCAGCCACGTGCATTGCTGGTGAGCAAGAAGCTCTCGCGGAGCCATCCGAGCTGGGTCGTTTTCCTCCTCCTCGCGAAAGCCGTCATGGGTAGTGCTGGGTAGTGGTAACAGCGAGAAAGGCTGACGCTCCGCTCGGTTCGTGAGCGCTCAAGCTAGAGCGTCCGCCCTCTCGTTACCCTCCAGGCCTGCATTTTTCCTCTACAAGAGCAACGATCCTAAGCAGTAGTGTCCTATTCAGGTATTGACGATTCCAAAGCTTTAGTAGGCTGCGCCTGCTCTTTCATAGGTGTAGCAGACGACTGTCTACTGCTGGTGTCTCTACAGTTTTGACTATTTTGTTCGTAGTGATTGCGTGTACCGACTACATGTACTCAGACCATGCCCCTATTGAGTCTCGCGCAAAGTCGGGTGGAGGATCTCGTTTTCTGAACTCAGTCCAATCTGTGATCGCTGCGTCGCCTACCAATCTGCGCAGTTTGGGAGTCGATATGGAGACGCTTATAATGTAATGATCGCTTCCTAGATTTTTCTCCAGGTTTGTCTAGTATGTGTCTTTGAGGCTGAAGGTGAAAGCGAGGTCCGGGAATGTGTCTCTACATACGCTGTTGCCCACTCTCGTGGGCGCGATCGGGAGAGTTATTAAACTCAGGCCCAACCTAGACAAAGCATGTTCGAGACGCGTTCCCTTCGGCGAGTCTGTTGGGTAACCCCATGTGGTGCTGGGTGCGTTAAAATCACCCAAAACCAATAGGCAGTCCTTGTTGCCTGCAATATTAACCGTCTCAGCAAGGAGCTTGTTGAAGTCCTTGCCTTTGTCTTTTGAAGGACTGTATAGGTTTACTATTATAGTCTTCGCTTTGCCTCTCTTTTGGGGGAATAAACTGATAACTTGGTTATTTCTTTGTAGCATTCCTATGTACTAATCCGTTGCCGCAATCATCTTGCTCACCAGCGTCGCTACGCAGAGATAATTTGGATTCTGAAAAACATAATAACCCTGAAGCTTCACTATTGTGGCACCAATTTCTTGCAAGCATATAACGCCGGGTTTAATTGGTGCCACATTGATATAGCTCTAGAGTGCTGCGGCGCGTTTGCGAAAAGTGCGGCGATTCCTCTGTCAGATCTCTAATTGTTCCACACTTCTTTGGTTACTTTTGGCCATGATGTATGGGTGCTTCCGCGTCATCGCGATGTCTCTTAGATTGTTTGCTATTTCTAGCAGAGGTCGTGCGAGAGCGCTTGTTTATTGCCCTTTGCAAGCTGCTCACAGCGTCATTCACGTACTGCTTTTGAGCTTTTAATTCCTCGCCGACGAATGATTTTAACTCAATCATGAAATCGACTAGCAGTTTATAAACGTTAGATAGGCCTTCCCTGTTTTCTTCTAACTGTGCCTGTAGTTGCTGTGTTATTTGGTCGCGGTTATTTGCTGTTGTGCTTGGGGTAGGGGTGGTTGTACCTGCATACAACATCCTTTCCTCAACTTCAGCCGACGCCGTGCTGCCTCTTGAAAGGGTGGGTTTTATTGACGGTAGATATGTCGCTTTCTGACTACATCCTCCAGCTATTCCTGTCGGGTTTTGTGGTCATAGTTTAGCCTCTAGCTGTCTCTCTAATGAAGATATTGCTGCTTGTAAGTCATTTCGCTCTTCGGTCATTTGTTTTTTTAGCTGTTTGACCTCTTGAGTCAATGTCTCATTTTCTTGCAATATTTTCTTTTATTGTGAATTCTCTGTCATAGGAGCGTTGAAAGACACTGCTCTTGCAAAGCTCACTTGATTTATGTTTGTCCCGCTGGCGGCTAGGGCATCTTGTGATTCCTGGCAGGAACCCATCTCTGCCGGAGGTCTGCGGTGCTTCCGTTGGTTCTTTAAGCCGGATTTACCAGGGACTGAAGGTGCCATGTTAGTGTGGTGTTGCCTGTTACTCCTTGAACGAAATCTCGATCGCGAACTTGACTGGGATCTCGACCGGGATCGTGAACTTGACCTTGACTGGCGCTATTCCTGCTGGTCCGAGCTGAACCATCGAAGCATGTCCAGCACTAGTGGAGGGAATTCTTCCGACGACTTCGCATTGCCGGTCCATTCAGATTCACCTCCCCAGTCTTTTTGTTGATCTGTCTTCAATTTTTGGGGAGGAGTGACATTCTTAAGCTTTTTCTTGCACAAACTATCTCCTGTGGGGTGTTCACCATCACAGATGACACACTTTGGGATGCAGTCGTGTCCTTGCATTGGTTCTCTTGCCGTGCACCTGAGGCATACATTGACATTTGGAGTTGAACGACGTCCGTACGGTGTCCAGTTAAGAGGCCTATCTTGCGCACCTGTACTGTTGGCTTGTGTGGGTAGCAGATTAACTCGGCACCCATTATGTATACGCTCCTCGGTAGCACACTGCCCGTGAATGTGATAATCGCTGTTTTAGACGAGACTAACATTTTTGTTCTTTCATTCTTCACCTCTTGAGTCCGAACATGTAGGCTTTCCATTAGTTCATCTTGTGAAGTCCCGGCCGGTATTCCGTGTAATTCCCCGCAAGACGCCTTCGGGTTCGGCCACGTATGCATTGAAAGCATAAATTTGTCCCCTGATCTTCAATTCACTGATGCCTCGCAGCCTACTCTCTACTTTCATGCTTGGCGTAGATAGGATTACAATGTCCAACCCTGGGTGAACCCGCAACAGAAAGTCATTGCCATTGAAACATCATTGGCAGGCATCTATAGCCCGGGAGAGTTCCAGTCCCAATACGTTTTAACCCATAGACCCTTATGCGGCCTCAGATTAATTGTGATGTCTTCTTTTGGTAGAGGAGGTGAGCCGCTTCGCTTTCTCCGTCGGAAACCCTGCGTGGCTTCATGTTTTTGTTTCGCGGCGGGCGGATCGCTTTCCAATTTCTCGTTAGCGTTCACAGCCTTCTCCATCTGGGATTGCTGCATTTTTGACTGGTTTTTCTTTTGCCTGCGTGAGACGGCGGTATGCCAGGCATCCTCAGTCCATCCACGGCGTTCCGAACAAGTCGTGTCGCCAGAATCGTTTCAGAGAGTCGCGTCAACAGACGCCGGTTCGTCATCCTTTGCCTGCCGAAACGGGACGCTACTGACGCCCGTGTCGGCGGTGAGTGATCCCAGCGCCCGAGAAGGGCCGGGATGAGCTTCATCAACTCCAATACGGTGAGAAAAGGCGATCAGCCCCGGCCAGGCATGCTTGGCAGAATAAAAAAAGTGACTGCCGCTCCTGCCAAGTTAGTCGGAGCGCTTAGGCTGGCACAGTTTCCCCACCGGGATTTTTTCCTGTCACAAAATAGGCCAAGAAAGTGAGGTAAACATCGCTCACCTTCAATCCTTGTCTCGTGGCAGCAAAGCAAGTGTCTCAAGTTCACTTTTTGCTAGTTCGTGCTCCAACGAACACACAAAACCGTCGTGTTTCGCACGTTAGAGTGCCTTCCAAGACGCCCGACGCCGGCTGTGGTCGTTAAGGTGAGCGTCTCCACAAGGTCATCCAATCTTCCGGCTATAGCTATAGTTTCTTCTCGTAAAATTGATACTGCCTTAAACTTTGGGTACCCGTGGAATCAGCAGAACTTCACGAAGCAGACTATATGATTGTTAGATGGGTTTGAGCAAAGTTGCTCTTATAAAAGCTTCGAGAAAGCGGAGCGCAGTGTGAGCATGTCTTCACAACTTGGCGCCTCCTGGCGGTTTCAGTGTTAGAATAAAGAAATCAGTTCGAAACTCAACGCTGTCAGGACTGGATCTTTCTCGAGTTAGCACCGACAGTTAAGCAGACTGGTCTTAGACATTTTTTGTTTATTTCGTCAGTGATCTTGATCAAAGTGCACGGGGTTTTGAAGTTTTTCCTTCTGATTTCAAACATTTACTTAGTTTTCCGATAAATCATCTTGTTCCTGAGATAACTTAAGTTCACTCCTTATTGTTTAAGGCCACCACAGAAAAAAAGTGCTTAATTAAAAGTGATATTTAGGATATGCCAACATAGACTAATGACGATGTAGTGAAAGTATGGAAGAGTTTTTTAGGTTTTTATTGGTTATTTTGCAGCAAACTGAACTATTCATTTTCAAAAGCAGTTAGAATTGTGTTACAATGTTGATTACTAATTAATTAAAAA